GCAAGGAGCTTGGGCGGAGCCAGTAGGCTAGGGAGCCCGGGCGGAGCTGGCAGGGCAAGGGGCTTTGGCGGTGCCGGCAGGGCAAGGAGCTTGGGAGAGTCTGGGACGGCCTCCGGGCCAGCAGCGGGCTCCTGGACGGCCTCCGGGCCATGTGGGATGGAGGAAGCCCTTTTCCTCCTCCTCCGTTTCCGAGAGAGGGTCACTGCAACTTCGTCGGCCACCTCTGGGGGCGCAGCAGCCTCTTCGGCCACCACTGCGGGCGCTGCAGCCTCATCGGCCACCTCTAGGGGAGCTACAGCCTCTTCAGCCGCATCTAGGGACAGCAAGGCGGACCCATTCTTCCTCCTCCCCCTCCTCCGTTTACGAGAGTGAGGTGCTGCAGTCTCTTCGGCCGCCTCTAGGTGTGCTGAAGCGTTGTCGGCCGCCACTTGACGAACCCCTCAAATGACAGGTGATCCAGCCCTCTCATCCTCCACCAGTTGAGGGGCTCATCAAGGGCATAATTAAAGAGGTCCTTGAGGTCCGCATCATTAAACCCCAACCCTTCTGCAGCACCGCTGAACTCCAGGGCAAAATCCCTCACGTCAGTCCCCTGTTGACGGAGGGAGCTCAAGGTCTTAAATTGGAGCATGCGCTGGTAGTGGGGGCTGGAGAGAGTGGAGGCTGTAATCAGGTAACAAGATGGGTGGGGTCAAGACAATTGACATGAGAGCACATGGCACACAGGAAACAAAGACAAATGCTATGTGCTCACACAAAACAAAAACACAAGCACTTGGCCAGCAAAACAATCACAAGCCATGTGCTTGAACAAACTAATGAGAAAACTCATAAGCCGCGTGTTCACAAAAGACAAGACAGCACGCAGCCAGCAAAACCCAAGCTGCGTGCTACACAGCACAGGACATGAAAGCACGCAGCCGAAAGCACGAGCTGCGTGCAACACCACAAGACAACAAGAAAAGCACACGTGGACAGAAGAGCGCACGGCCGAGCAAACTCGAGACCGCATGCTCCCACAACAGACAGAACATGGAGTGTGAGTGTCCGGACTCCGACACGAGTTCATATTCATATTGCTTTGCAGAGCTTCCTTGTAAAAGCTGTTGTCCCACTTCTCCTCTCTCACCCCAATAATATATATATTTATATATATATATATATATTAAAAATAAAGCAAAATCCCATGTTCACTTGGAAATAATGAATGTTATTATAATATACCTGACTCTGTCCACAATGAGACACACATATTTAACTCAGTGAACACTAGTTACTTTAGTCATAATGATAACAACATGCATTAAAATCAGACTAAGCAGCTTCAGACTAAGTTCAGTTTTATTGTAGTCCTACATAACATCATAAAATTAAGAGAATCTATGTGTGCATGCACTTTCTGTACTTTATAAGTAGTATTACAGTATTTCCTATCCTAGTCATACAAATTATATACTGTAAAACTATGTCACAGTATAGTCACATACATTAAATACTTTATCACTTTTTGACCAGCACCCTGTGAGCAAAAATTTGATTAGGGAGTAACTACGTTACAAATGTATTAACACTGAATTTCTCAGACAATTCAAGTTGCACTCATGTCCATCTCAGTTAAGGATCAGTGATTGTGCTTAAAAATATAATAGGCTTTTTTTTATAATTCAGGTTTCATTCTATTAGTGGTTTGTCGCTTGCTAAATCGGTTGCATGGTGATTTTATAACAAATATGAAGCCAAATGATAATTATGTGGGCATAAAAGTAGTTCTTGGACTTTGAAATGGTATTTAAACACACAGTCAGCCATGTGCACACACACATACTGCACAAACATCATGTGATTGACAGCTTGCTTTGTATTGAGTAAACTGATCTATTCTTTAAAGTCTTATTGTTTATTTACTTTGGTAAAAAAGCACAATGAAAAGCTCTGAACTGCATCTTGTCTTCTTTCTGCATTTATTTCCCACTGTACACTAATGTCATAACTATTTCCTTCAACTCAAATTTAAACTAAACAAACACAGGCAAAATTCACTGGAGAACAGAAGGACATAAACACCCTTACAACAAAATCTTTGCCCCGATTCCTTTGCTTAAAAATCTCAAGCCCTCTCTTTTATATTCATTTGTGAATGTGTGCAAGCATTGTTACACATTCAGATGTTTGTTCTTCAGCACAATAGCATTAGCAGGAGCTTGAACCACAGCCCTGAAACAGGGTTGTGCCATACCTTTAGAAGTCTACAGAAAGGGCAGGGCCCTTCATCTTCTCCACAAAAACTAACAACTACCCACAAACAGTCCTGTCAATGCATGCTGTGCACTTGGTAAATTACTATCTGGAAAACAGTGAAACATATATTTCTGCAAGTAAACCACAGATCAGGTAAGTGCAAACCTACCATTGTTAACCTTTAATGTTTACCTGGCGAAGAACTTTGCATCATTGTAATTAAAATGCAGCAACATGTTGGACATACAAAGCATTTTTTTTAGATTTAATTTTGTTATAATTCAGCTAAACTAGGCTATTTTCATATTGCCACTTGGATTCTTTTTAGTGTTTGTACTTCAAGATATTTCAGTAGCATACTGAAGTAAACAGCATGTTTTAAAAGCAATAAGTTGTGCATAGTATAGTATGTTTCCTGAATATTCAGTCACAAGCTAAAACTGTTTTTACATCACCTACAGCAGAGCTCACATATTTAATTTGTAATCCTAATAGAAATATATGAAGTATAGGAGCCCAGAGATGATTGCAAATTGGTTTATTGATTTTATTTTAAATAACTTATGATGGACAATGGTCTTTCAAGAATTTAATGCATTTTATTCAGTAATTATTACATATACCAACAAACAAACAGCCTCATTATACCTGACAGGGGTGGGGAGCCTGAAAGCATTTAAGAAAAAAAATTAACTTGAAGAAAGTAAGGCCTGTTGTTTAGGCCTGTTCCATTCACTGTGTTGGTTTTGGACAGATATTATAAAGCTTTATAGCAACTGAAAAAAACCCATCTAAAGCCTGTTTAGCTACAATAGCAGCCAGAAAAGACACCTTGTTGAAACTTGTTGATTTGCACCACAACATATCAAACCACACCTATGTCATTCTTCTGCTTGTTCATCATACATGTATATGTTAAAACCAAAACCCTCAGTTAATCTCAGTCAGAAACAAAGTGTTACAATCACTGATCTCTCCTATGCACATCAGTTTACATCAGGTTATTCAAACTATTGGTTTTGTCAGCATCACTGTGTGAAGGAACACAGTATGTGATCTGTTTAATTAACAGCTTTTCTTGCTCTTGCTTATCAGTAGAGCTTATTTATTTCTCACTGTACCATTCAGTTATTAGGGTTTCATAACCCAAGGTGCTGAGTTTGAAATTCACCCAGCAAAAGTGGTTCTAAACCCCTTTCAAGTTCAATATTGCTTTACCTGTGGTTAAAAGCAGAGTTTAAACAGCCTAATTGTGGTCAACACAAAACTTGCGTAATTTTGTTTTTAATTTTTTAAAAAAGGTGTGTCATGGAAAATGTCAATGCTGGCATCAGCATAATGACAGAATGATTGATGAATGGCATATTAATCACCAGAATACCATTGAGTTGGATTGTTCTCAAAGCCTTTGACATCAACAAAAGATATGGGAAGAGTTTTCTACTCCCTTTAATAAGTCTGTTTACTTTGCTTATAATCTTAACTGTGGATAATGCACATTTTCCATTGCTTTTCCCCAACTGTCTATACATTGGTGCATTCGCAAGTTTAGTGTCAGATCATTAGAAACTGAAAAAGATGGTGCTGGTGTAATACTGTTCATGTGCGACATGACATACATACTGTACATAAATCTCCAGTGTGCTTCAATGCCATCTAGACCTGATGCCTGGATAAGTGCTTGAAGGAAAGTGCAGGTTAATGGCCAGGGCAGAGTGAGGCTTATAAAAAATGTACCTAAACAATCCTTTTATTTTAAGTGCATTCTGTTTTGGGAAACTGGAAATGTATGCCTTTCTCAGGAGAAAGGATGCCATTAAAGTATTATTGCTGCTGGTATCAGCAATATTTAAGCAGGTCTGTCTATTGTATAATTGTTACATGTATGGTCTGTCTCATTGTGTTTCCTCTTTGACCTTGTTTTCCTGTGTGTTTGATTAGTCTTTTAGTTCCCCTGGTGTTAATCAATTATCTCATTAGTTCCCTCATTTAGTTCTTGTATAAGTGCTCCCTGTTTTGTTCAGTTCTTTGTCCTGTCTAGTGTGTAAAGTGGATCTGTTCCCTGTGTTTATACCCCATCTCCTGTGGATTATTGAATTAATGACTATTTCGTTGTACTCTTCGTCTTTGTGAGCTACTTATATTCAGCCACTTTTGACAGAAATATTGTTAAATTCATACAACTATTTGAAAAATTGTGCAAGGGAATAATTTCTTCATGCCGTCAAATTGAAACATATTATTTGTATTTTTCAAATTATACCACATCTGCAGATATTTGTAACGATTTTTTCACTGTTCTTTTTCGGATTCGTTGAAGCCCATGTTTCCATGTTGGTCTTATTGCAGGCAGTGTAAGCCAACCCCTTCAGATCAATAGAGTGCCTCACTTTACAGGAAGAAACAGAAGCAGACTGTGTGGATACTGTGGGAATATCTGCCAGGAAATCTTTCACACAGAAATGTAGCCTTAGAATCTGTCATCTTTACAGATAAAATACTTTTGGTCTGGCAAAATAGATCCCTCACTGACTCTCCAATTAGTGCAAACTATAAAACAGCAAATAAATAAAGTATAGATTGCATGCATGACTATATAACAGGCTTACGCATTTAGGATGGATTCTTAAATTTAGGTCATATGTACAGACAACGTAATGCACCTGAAATTTACTTTTTGCTTACCAGTCAGATGTGAAACCTGTATCCACATATAGGAGCTTGACCTTTAAGTGCTTATTCTGTTTTTTTCATCACAACAGGAGAAGGGCGAAGGTTGAAGGAACCAGAACAAGACACAGATGATGATTTAGTGAGTATCTCTCCAGTACAGCACATTCAGCAAATATATATACATGTGTTATAGGTCTCTCTGATTTAAATTGATTCATTGTTTAAACAGTCTTTAATTGGTATTTAATATAATAGGTATGTGAGGAGCCTGAAGTTTTAGAGGGGGAAAGACCTCGTCCTCAGGGTTCCTCTCCTGTTGAGGAATTCCCCACCACAGAGAAATACGCAAAACAGGTGAGCGCTACATTAGAAAACACTCTTATCTTAACTATTTAACACTATGCACAGTATAATAACCCTAGTATTCAGAACTGTATAATGTTGTTGTATTTGATCATCTAACTATTATCTATATAATATACCACATGCTATTTTGCCAGGTTGAAGGTGATTTCTATGACTCACCCACCAAGAGTTCCAAAAAAAGCAAAAGGATTGGTTTCGGCTCGCTGTTTGACAAGCGTTCCTCTGCCAAGATGAATCAAACAGAGGTCTGACACACCAAAAGTTCTCTCTAATGAAGAATACAGATGATTAGGAATGTGAATACTGGGAAAACATGATCTCGATTTCTAAATTACTTTGCATTCTGTTTCAGGATATGCAAATTGATCAGTCAGAAATAATAGTGAAAACTGTAAAAGAAGTCTGTGCTGAGGGTTTGGTTGTAAGTGGAGGAAAGGATGGCATCTTCATCAAGGAAGTAGAACCAGAGTCACCTGCCTCAAAGCATTTAAGTGTGAAAGAAGGTGAGGTTTTTATTATAGCACATTACAGAACATTTCTGAAGCTAGAATGCAGCTAAATTTGTTAATCTTCCATCTTTTCACTTGCGTCCTCATTTGTGCCCTTCCATCTGGCCTTTCAGGTGATCAAATACTTAGTGCTACAGTATACTTTGATAATGTGTCATATGAAGACGCCCTCCAGATTCTTGAGCATGCTCAACCATATAAAGTGGCATTCTGTCTAAAACGCAAACCAGCTCCAAGAACCCAGGAAGATGCTGAGACAGAGAGGCCAGATATAACCATTGTAATTATAATACTGTTCATTATATTCTTAATTACAGAATACTGCAAAGCTTCTTCTGAGGTTTCATTGACTTTACTGTGCATCTGCTTCATCAATGTTTGCAGGGCGAGGAGGCTGAGCAAGTAGAGGAAGGTAGCGGACCAGAGATGAGAGGTCGAAGAAAGACAAAAAAGCAACATGATCGCATCTCTTGGCCCAAATTCCCTACCTTTAGCAAAGGTCGCAGGGCGAATTTTAAAAGATCTCACAGCACGTCAGAAGCAGAGGAACAGAGAAAATTAGAGATAAGTCCGCCAACAAGTGACACAGAGTCTCCTCTTAAGTCTCCATTAAAATCCCCAGATGGAAAAGACAAGAAAAAGAAGCATAAAGTGAAACCTAAGAAGCGTATGGCAGGCCACAGGAGCAAATCTGTTGAAGAAACCCAAGAAAATGAAGAGGTGCTTGCAACAGACAATATGAAGGTCTTGGACAACCAAATTATTATGAATATAGTCGAAGAGCAAGTGCCAATGACTAATGTGATAGAGAGTCCTAAAATATTGAATGAAGCTGAAAATATTGACTCAACTAAAACAGGAAATGAATATACATTCCCCACTTTGCCAGCGACTGAATCACTGCATAAGGTTGAGCTCATCAGTGTGTACACCACATTAAAGACTACTGATATTACAGTCGCTCTTGGAGATGATGGCAAAGAAAGGAGAGAGAAATCAGAACTGAGGGTTAGCATTCCAGGAAAGGATAAATATGAAATAGAAACAGAGAGCCAATTAAAATCCTCCACAAGTGGAATGAGAACTTTGGATCCATCAACATTCTACAATATTTTGGACAGTCCTAATGTAATATCACAAACGGAACCAGTTGGACATCGAGTGGATTCCAATAGCAAACCAATAAATAAAGAGATATTAGAAAAGACCCAAGAGTCAGGAAAAACAGACATGACCATAGCTAAAGTTGATGTTTCTCTTGACATGCCAGAGGTAGGACCAATAAGCAAATCACCAAGAATTGGCAGCGACAAGGAAAAGAAAGAAAGAAAGATTCTAGAAACAGAAAGTTATGGGATTCGAACCAGAGGACCATTGGCAGACATAGCCACATCAAAGAGTCATTTTTCGAATGCAGTAAACAAACTAGATTTTACATCAGACACTTTCACTTGTGAGATTCAAAAAAGAGAGGATATGCCCTCAACAGACACAAAGAAACCAATCACTCCAACTCCTGTTATATCCCAGCCAAAATCACATGCTCTGGATGTGGACAGAAGCAGGAAGAGTACTGGAGGTAGCACGGACATTGAATCAAATTTTAAACTGCCTAAAGTGGATGTCTCTGAATTCGACCACCAAGAATCAATAACTGTAAGACAGAAAGACCCAACTAAAGTGCCTCTCCTGAAACGAGAGGAAATTGAGATTTCTGGCATGGAGGACATAGGATCAAAAGCCAAGGTTAAGCCTCCTAGAATTAAAGAACAAAAAGTTGAGAAGATAATAAAAATATCAAAAGCAGGAAAAAAGCAAGCTCAGGCGGAAGCAGAAGAGTTTAATGTTAAGGATGTAAAGGACGCAGTATCAAAATTTCCTGCCTTCAAATTACCTGAGAGAGACATCACTGGAGTCCTTGTACAGAGAGAGATCACAATCATGGAAATTAAGTCAGACAAGACTGGCATGACACCTAAAGGATCCCCTTGTAAAATTTCTAGCATGAGCACAGAAATAAACATTAATTTGCCTGACACGATGGATAAAGAAAAGCAGAGACTTTCTCCTGTTGCTACAAAAGGTCAAACCTTCGTATTACCAAAAATTGAACAATTGCATCTTGATGAAATGGTTATAATCAAGAGCAAAACAGACCTATCAAAAATGAAACTTGCTGACCACCAACCCAAAACTGGCAAAATGTTAGCAAGGGATGATAAGATAAGTACATCTCCAGATGTAAAATTCAAACTTCCAAAGCGTGAAGACATTGAAATACCTGGAATAGAAGCCATTGAACAATCAGTTCAACCAACAAAAATCATAATAGCCAAAGATACAGACACTCAAGACGAGGCTGTGAAAGACTATACTGATACAAATATCAAAGCTGACAAAAATGTGCATGAAAAGAAATCGAATAAATCAAAGGTATCAATGCCAAGTTTTGGAATCATGACACCTGACATTCGCTTCCCAGGTATTGTGATTGAATTACCAATAAAGGCCACGTCACCTAAAAGTGATAGTGGCACAATCAAGGAGAGGACAACTGAAGCAAAAATATCAGAAGACAATATCAAACAATCTTCTGAAGAAGCAACATTTAAAAAATCTCAAAAAGGTGAAAGCTGTGCACCTGAGCATGAAACTAAAAAAGCACATGACATAGAGGATGATCAAATACTCCATTTTGATGTTTGCACTGCTATAGTTAAGGAAACCTCAAAACAAGATGCTGAAGGAGAACTGAAGGCTGAAATCAAAAGCAAAGGCACAGATTCCTCTCCACAAAAAAAGAAACTGCATAAATTAAAAATGCCCAAAATTGGAGGAAAATCTATGAAAGGAACAGCTGAAGTCATCACAAAAGAGGATGTTACAGTGCAAGAAAATGACATAATAGAGGTTGTATTAGATTCTGAGAAGAGAACATTTGAGACTGATCCCAAAGCATATAGTGTAGAAACTAAATTAAAAATGCCAAGCATAGATGTTTCTGTTCCAAAAATAAAAATCCCTAAGGCAGAGGGAAAATCAAAACAGGAGGAAACTGGGCTCTCAAAGCCTGAAGCTGTTGAAGCCATTGAGGATGCTCAAGAGGAGAGTGGATTTAGACTGATCAAGTTTGGTATCTCAATGCCAAAAGAGAAGACAGAAGAAGGTGACCTGTTACCAGATGAATCTGAAAAATCCATCATCAAGGTTAGTGGAAAAACTGAAGTGGAGCCACCTGAACTTCCACAAGCTGAAATGAAAGTAGCAGAGTCTAAAATGAAGAAAAGGAAAATATCATTTCCAAAATTTGGATTCTCTAAATCAGATACTAAAGTATCTGATGCTGACATAACTCTCCCAGCCGCACAGGGCTCTTTACATGATGCTGATTGGACAGAACTAGATGTTGAAAGTAAGACCAAAGATGTAGAGGCTGAGTTCAAGGATTCAACAGATTATCTCACAAAATTTAAACTTCCCACAATTAAATTTCCAAAATTTGGAGTCTCATTTCCCAAGCCAACTGATGCTGGGGGCGATATTCAAATGCCTGATGTCAGCACAGACGAAGCTAAACTACCTGTAGAAGCAACAGCACTCTCTGACAAGAAAGGCATGGAAATGACTCTCAGTGTATCCAAACCTGAAGTTGACTTGTCTCTGCCCGAAGGAAAGGCAGAAATCAAAGGTTTTCAGAAAAAAGAAATAAAATCATCTGAAGAAATGTCATTTTCTAAACCAGATATTGATGCTAGCCTGACTGGCCATGATGCTGAAGAAATTCCAGCTATTGCATTTTCAAAACAAGACATCAAAGCTGCAGGCATTGATGTTAGTCTTCCACAGGTTGATTTATCAATTCCAGAAGTTTCTGTGGAAATAAAAGAGCCTGGTGTGCACTTTACAATTTCAAAGGATGAAGCTGAACATAAAGATCTAACAAATGGTGGTACACCAGTAAAGTTTCCCTCTATCAGCTTACCAAAGTTTGGTGGAAAATCATCTAAGGTAGTGAAAGACATGCCATTTGTAGATATAGATACTGAAGAACCTGACGAAAGCCTTCCAGAAACACAAATAAGCATGCAACTGAAAGATGATGCACCAACAGGTGATATCAAGGATTCTTTTGAGACTACAGAAGGTCAATTTGTTAGTGTAGATATGAAGGTTGAAGAAACAACGCTCAAAGAACAAGAGGTTACCGTTACACTGCCTAAATTTGGCATTAGCCTCCCAAAGGTTAAAGCCCTCAAGCCAACTGATAGTGTGGATAAAGAAAAATCAACTATAGACCCCAGAGAATCAAATGCAGATTCTGATCAGGCTGAGAAAGATCCAAGATCTCCAACAAAAATTAAACGTCCTACAATTAAATTCCCAAAAGTTGGTGTCTCATTTCCAAAATCAACAGATGCAGTCTCTGACAATCAAATGCCTGAAGTCACCAAAGATGAACCTGCCATGGAAATTAAAGCACTAGAAACCGAGCTGCCTACAGAGTTGCCATCATTACCTGAAATGAAAACCCCACATATTATTCTCAGTGTTTCCAAACCTGAAGTTGATGTATCTACCCCAGAGGTGGAAAAGGCTATTGATGAACACTCTGAAAAGAAAAAAGAAAAGGTATTGTCTTCAGATTATGCATTTTCTAAACCAGAGGTTAAGATGAGCCTTGTAGGCCATGGTCTTGATCAAGAGACAGCTATAGAAGGTTTGAAAGTGCAAGCCAGTAATCTTGAGGCGGAAGTCATCCTTCCTTCAGGTTCAGTAGATGAAGTCATCCTGGAGGCTAAAGAAAAGGAGAGTGAATTCAAACTTAAAAAACGTAAAATACCTTTTCCGAAATTTGGCTTTTACAAATCTGACACTAAGATCCCTGATGCTGACACCAGTCTTCAAAAAGAAGGAATATCTGTGCCTGACACTGTGATCAAAGAGACTGAAATGACTTTTCCTGCTCCAGAGGTTGAAGTCCAGTTGAAAAACAAAAGTACTTCTGGTTCTCCATCTAAATTCAAGCTTCCAACAATTTCTCTCCCTAAATTTGATATTTCCATTTCAAAGACTGGGGAAGAGTCTGTTGCAAAATCTGAGGATGATGCACAGTCAGAAATAAAGGCAGCATCACAGGATAAAGATACAGGAACACAAGATACAGAACCATCTAAATCAACTTTAGAAACCCTACCGGTGGATGCTGAAATTAAAACTAAAGACACTGATCCTAGTAGTCAAGGGAGTAGATTTATGATGCCCAAATTTGAATTTTCATTTCAAAAGCTAAAGGGACCAGAATTTAAAAAGGGTGCATCAAGAACAGATGCAGAAAAATCAGAGGTTCCACTGAAACATGACAAAGAAAGTGCTGAAGGAAAAGCAGACATACCTGAAGCATCTGTGGAAATGGAGGTAACATTGAAAATGCCAAAAATGCCAAGCTCAGACCATGAATTTTCTGAACAAGACATTAAAGCTCCAGAGATTAATGTTGAGAGGGGCGATACATCTATGGCAGTAGGTGAAGTGGATGTGAATCTTGAGTCTGACTTGAAAATTCAGACAACAGAGATGTTAAAAGATGATTCAACCATGGGAGGGTCACAGATCAAATTCAAACTTCCTACTTTCAAACTACCGAAATTCAGAAGTTCATCTTCCAAAGTAAAAGCTGAAATAATGGATTTGAGGGGTGAGGAAATTACTTTGGAGACTGAAGATTTAATCACATCAGTAGAACCATCAGACGTCAAAATTGACTCTAATGTGCCCGGTCAAGAGTTGAAGAAACCCTCAATCAGTGCTGATCAGACAAAGGTAGATAGTGGAGATCAATATACCCTGTCACTTACAGAGGCCAGAATATCAAAGGCAGAAGGCTATATTTCTTTACCAGAGGCAAAACTTGGGGAAGTATCACAAGCCACACTAGAAAGCAAAATTGATCAAGAAGTTGGTTTAAAAGACACAGGTATGAAAATGAAAAAAACAGGCTTTTCACTTCCTAAATTTGGATTTTCTAAACCAGATATCAAGGCCCCAGAGATTGATGTCAGTCTTGCACAAGTTGATACCTCTAAACCAGAAAGTGATCTGAAAATAAAAGAACAAATTTTGAATATCACAGTGTCAAATGTTGAGGATGATCAAAAAGATACAACAGCTCTCGGTGCCACAGCAAAATTTCAACTCCCCTCAATCAACATCCCAAAGATTGGAGGACAAGCTACGAAGGAAGAGAAAACTATGCCAGTTGTAGATATAGCTGTTAAAGGACCTGAAGTGACTGGTCCAGATACACAAATAAAAATATCAGGTGAAGCCCCATCAGTAGATATAAAGAGACCTCATCTAGCCACAGAGGGTCAATCTGTAAGTGTTGACTTAAATGTTGAAGATGCTGAACTTGGAGGACAGGGAGGAAAGTTTAAGATGCCAAAGTTCGGTATTGGCCTTCCTAAAGTAAAAGGGTTTGATTTAAGTACATCCAAGACAGATGATATAACTGAAGTAAAACAAATTCATATAACAAAGCCAGAGATAACAACTGAGGGGATGGTTCAGCCACCAGAACAAGATTCTAAATTTCTAGATGTGCAGATAAAGCCATCACCTGAATTTGGGTTTTCAAAACCAGAAGTAAAAGCCCCTGAAGTTGATGTAAGTATTCAAAAAACTGATATCCCCATACCAGAAGGCAGTATGGACCTAGAAGAAGCAAATGTGGATATTAAAGTGTCAAAGATGGAGTCTGACCAAAAAGGTTCAACAATTTTTGGATCTCCAACAAAGTTTAAACTCCCGTCAATAAGCCTCCCGAAATTTGGTGTTAAATCACAAAAAGTAGCATTAGACATTAATGTGGCAGATTCAGAGCTAGAGGGAACAAATATAAAAACAGACATTTCTAAACCTGATGTGAAATTAGAAGTACAGACACCCAAAAGTGAAGCTAAAGTTGAAGGGAGTGCAGACATGCCTGAGGTTGATTCCAAAGGACTGCAAGTAAAAGTGAAGAGATCGAGCTTTTCATTCCCCAAGTTTGGGTTTTCTAAACCAGACACAGCAACTCCGGAAGTTAATATCAGTGTACCAAAGGCTGAAGTATCCATACCAGAGGTCAATGTACCTGTTAAAGAACAAACAGCAGAAGTCACACTTCCAGGAGGAGAGGCTGAACAGAAAGATCTAATGATTGTTAGTTCCCCAACCGAATTTAAACTGCCAGAAGTTAACCTGCCAAAATTTGGAGTCAAAACTTCAAAGGGTACAGTAAGTTTACCATCAGCAGATAAGGACATAAAAGGAATAGGAATTACTGTTCATGAACCAGACATCAAGTTGTCAGGTCAAATACAAAAAACTGAATTAGATGTAAAAGAAATAGAGACTGATATACATGCCACAATAAGAGAAATTGATGTTCATCTAGCAGAAGGAAAAGTAATACTACCCCAACCTGATGTTGACGTTCAAGACATATCCATTGAAGGCAAAGCAGATATGTCTGAAGTTGACTTGAAAGGGCATGATGTGAAACTGAAGAAGCCAAGCTTTTCACTACCAAAATTTGGGTTTTCAAAGACAGATATTAAGGGGCAAGATGTTGATGCCATTCAACCAAAGGCAGATATGTCTATGCAAGAGGGCAACATACCTGTTGAAGACAAAGATGCAGAAATCACCATCACAGATGAAGTGAAAAAACAAGGAGATACAACAACTCAGACAAAATTTAAGCTGCCCTCAATCAACCTTCCAAAGTTTGGACTCAAATATCCAAAAGCTACAGCTGATATTCCAGCAGCTGAAGTAGATATCAAAGAACCTGAAATCAGTTTCCCAGAAAAAGGAGAGGTACAAACCACTGACACTGAAACAAACATAGATATTAAAGGGCCATCTGCTGATGTGGATATTAAGGTCAAGGAGATTGATGATGATGGCACGGGGAGTAAGTTCAAACTGCCAAAATTTGTAATTGGCATGCCAAAAGTAAAGGAGATAGAGATAGAGGGTAAAGAAATAAACATAGAGACTGGCCTGCTATGTAAAGAAAATGTAAATGTACAACAGCCTGGTGTTGAAATTCAAAATGTGACCATTGAGGGGAAAACAGATAAAGATGAAGTTGACTCCAAAGGGCTGAAAGTGAAACTTCCCAAATTGGGATTTTCAAAACCAGACCTTAAGGCTCCTGAAGTTGATGTGAGTCTACCCAAAGCTGACATGGGCACATCAGTGGGAAATGTTGATGTTTCAAAGCAATCTGCAGACATTAAATTACCAGAACAAGATCTTTATTTGAAGGAGGACACTTTTGGCTCTCCAACAAGATTTAAACTTCCAACAATCAGTTTCCCAAAATTTGGAACCAAAGCATCGAAGGATACGGTTGATATACCTACGGCACATGTGGACATCAAAGTTCCTGAAGTAAGCCTTCCCAATAAGAAGTTTAACATGTCAGGAGAAGTGTCAAGTGTTGAAATGAAAGGGCCAACAGTAGAAGATCCCTCCGTTGAGATAAACATTAAGGGAGATGATAAAAAGCAACAAGAGGGCAAATTTAAGCTTCCAAAATTTGGGATTGCTCTTCCAACAATTAAAGGTCCAGACAGTGACCAAGGGCTTAAGAAAGCTCTGACTGAAACAAAAGTGAAAATGTCAGGGGATGCACTATCTATAAACAAGAAAGAGCTAATATTACCCAAAGGATCAGTGGAAGTGGATGTGGAGGCTAAAGGTGCTGAACTTGAAGTAGAAGAAAGTAAAATCAAACTACCACAGTTTGGAATTTCTCTACAAGCATCGAAAAGTCCAGAAATTGACATAAGTGTTTCAAAAGCAGAGGTTTCTAAAACTGACATAAAAAAAGCTGGTACAGAAAAAGATGTTGAGGTTGAGGAACCAGCAGGTTTAACTGATTTGAGTTCTAAGGGACTAAAAATGAAGAAACCAAGTTTTGGATTTCCAAATATTGTATTTTCAAAATCAGATGGCAAGTCCCAAGATATTCAAGCCACTGAAACGACAGCAGATATATCCTTGCCAGGGGGCAATACAGAAATAGAAGAAAGTGAAAGAGAGGGCAAAACTGAAATAACAGGTCCACAATTTGGCTCGCCAACAAAATTCAAACTCCCAACAATAAAATTACCCAAATTTGGACTCTCCGCTCCAAAGGTCCCTAGTGATGCAGCAAAGGCTGATTCTGAAACCAAAGAAATTAAAGTTAGTTCTGTGGATTATGAGATAGAGACATCAAAGTTGGATCCATCAGGTGACATCAAAGGCAAAACTGCAGAGACTGAAACCGCATCTATTGATATTAATATAAAAGAAAAAGAGCTTAATCAAGAGGGACAGGAAATTAAATTTAAACTTCCAAAATTTGGAATTTCATTGCCCAAAGTAAAAGGTCCTGAGGTGACAGTAACTGCAAAAGAGGTAAAGACAGAAACACCTGAAATTGGGTTCACTGAACCAGAAATCAAGATGCAAGCAGAAGATGCAAGTCTCCCAAAAGTAGACATGGCTCTAGAGGAAAGTTCCAGTCTTGAAAAAAAAGAGGTAGAGACTGAGTTGAAAGAAGATACAGTTGTTTCAGGTTCTCCAAGTAAATTCAAATTGCCTACTTTTAAAATGCCAAAGTTTGGAATTTCAACTCAAAAAACATCTGATGCAAAAGTAAAAGTAGCAGAAGTAGATGTACCAGATGCTAACACTGACCTAAATATTGAAGACAAGCCTGTACAAATGTCTAAAGAAATACAAAGAGAGGGTGAAATTAAAGAAACCACTGAACAGCTTCCAGACACTGCTGCTAAAAAACTGGATGGGGACAAAGGCTCCCCAAGTAAATTCAAGTTTCCTACAATAAAAATGCCAAAGATCAGCATTTCAAGAACAAAATCTCAGGAAGGAGAAGACGACACAACTACCAAAGCGAGTGCTCCAGATGCTAAAACAGAAACCAAAGATGATACACAAGGGCCTGGAAAATCACCTAAATTTACAATGCCTACACTTGAGGATGTTCTCAGGGGCTTTGAGGTTGAATTTAATGTTCCAACAACAGAGGAAATGGAAGCACAAAAGGACACACCATCTGTTAAGCAAGATCAGGAGGCTGAAGCAAAAGTTGAGGAAACAGCAGAATATAAGGACAAAGGAGCTCAGGAGAAATCAAAGTTTAAATTTAAATTTCCAAAATTAGGATTCAGCCAGTCTTCAGATGAAAGCGATACGTTGGTTGATGCTAAGATTGAAGAAAGTGAAAAGCATTTGGAGGCTTCAGCAGATCAGAAAGCAACTGTTAGCAAAGAACAAGCAAAAACAGAGAAAGGGGGCTGGTTCAAGTTCTTATTTTCTTCTCCAACCAAAACATCAAAAACAGATGGGAAAGAAATAATCCAACCGCCTGAAGAGGCTGAGAAGCTTGATGATGTTGAGAAAGAATCAAGCAAGGCACACGAGGAACCTGAGAAGATTTCACTCAGTGAGGCTGTGGAGGAAAACATCAGCCCGACACCGTCACTAAAGTCATCTGACGCTTTTGCAGATATAAGTTCTACAGTAACCACTGAGCAGACTGGCCTGTCACAGACTTCACCTACAAAGGTTAAAGTGAAATATGCTGAACCCACTGCCACCGTTGGGGTCAGTGATGTACAAAATGATGTTGTGACTTCCACAGCCAGATGTGAACTGATATCAGTGGAGCCTCACCAGCCAGAGAAAGTCAACATCCCTTTCTTATTGGATATGTCCTCAGCCTCAGTGGACACTCTGAAACAGATGTCAGGGGAAATTCATGTCATCACATCGAACATACAAGCTATACCAGAAACACAGCAAGCCTCAATCCTTACTAATTTAGATGTGCATGGAATTCACACCTCGCCTTTACAAGTAACACTAGGCTCAGATTCAGTGTTGACAGTGGAGGAAACCAGAGTACAAAGTGGGACGCACACATTGGTGGAAAGGCATGTTGTGAAAGAAACTTTACATGATGACAAAGAGACAATACTTGTGACACAGAGAACACGTGTATTTGAAGGAGACTCTGCAGAACCCATTTCTGATGAGACGGCTTCTTCGATTCGCAGGCTGAGAGACACGGTACACACTGAAAAAATGAGTTTTTTGGACAGTGCAGCAACAATTGAAGAGGTCACAATAGTGAGCTCTGAAACATCTCTAAGACATATGGATTCCTCTACCGATGAGAATGGGGGGAAATGAACATGAGATATGGCTGAGTTGATTTTATGCTTTTGAACGTATGTTTCATTGTTCTATTATACTGTCATATAAGCCAGCTGAATTGTAACACTATTATGCAAAAGAGCGCTGATACTTATGAACACATCACAGAGTATTGTTTAGCTAACAGAGATTTTATGCTTAAAAGACTTTAAAAAACTATATCCACTGGACAAATTATGTATGTACATGGAATAATAGAAAAAAAAATATTATAATTTATGTGTGGGTTGTCAGTGTGCTTTATTGTAAATCTGTCATCTTGGGAATATTGTTTATAGTGCAGACTTGGCGATCAAGCAATCACCATTTAAACAGATATATTCACATAAAATGAATTACAAAGTTGATGTGGCAGTATAACATATTGAGGCATTTGTTTCTTTAAGGTTATTTTGTGAAAACGATGTAATTGCAATTATAATTCTTTGTTTCTGCAGCCTTGAGAAAGAATGAAAACATTGTGTAAATATGTTTTATTCACCCCAAAGCATTTGCACCTATGGTATGATGGAATCTATGGACTTGCAAAATACCCAATGCATATTTTCAAATACAAATCATTTTCTTAATAAGCAATGACTTTTCTTTTAACATATATAGTCAAAGTAATCCATTTAATGTTGTAAGAGAAACACTTTAATTGGTCGCTGCAAAATAAATAAAAAGTGAAATTATGCTCTGTGTCTCTGATTTATTGTGTGAACATGTACACAAAATAAATAAATAAATCCAACATTTGAGCAGACAGAGATTGACCACATGATCTTTGCCAATTCTGATAGAAAATGTTATTTGTTAATCTGAACGGATGCATGATGAGTGAATCACTCGTTTGAGTCTGTTATTTTAAATGAATCTGAATCGTTCGGAGTGGGTTCTCACTCAGTAAAATATTAACGTAAATTTACTTAAGAACACTGAACAAAATGAGCGCTGAAATAAGAGATCATGTACTTTTGGTCCTTTCATGTTGCCTGTTGTCTGCCAGCGATTCAGAAATTCAACAAATGTTGGGACAATTTGTGAAGCAGGTAAAACAGAGTAGATCTACGTAGGTATGCACTTTATTTCTGTTTATGGTTAGCCTGTGCATTATGAACCCATTGCGTGCACTTTCATTGGAATATCATCCCTATTTAAGGGCAACTTTGTGTGTACACGTGTACATTAATTAATTGTTTACATTTTTTTAACAAACTAAGTGAAATCCATAATTTTCACCACAAGCTCATTTATGAAGTAATTTATTGTGCATATTTCTGTAGCAGTTGTTTTTGTGAATCTAGTGCAGGGAAGCTGGACCCTTTAAAGCCCCGTTATGTGATGTTGTGAAAAGAAAAGAAAAAACGATAAAAGTTGTTTATCGTTTGGCTGCCTTGAAAACAACAGAGAAACTAGTACTTTAGGGTTAAAAAAGGAAAGACTGTGTCCATTGCCACAGAGTGATATACAGTATGTTCTCCTGGAGAGGCAATGCCCTTAAATTTAATCTGTATGCATTCTTGTGGTTGCTCAGATATTGGATTTACACCAGCATTTAGTCTGTGCTACAGTAGTTATGTAGTCAGCCTCTTAGTAGTAATTAAAATATGTACTAAATGTTCTGTTTATTATAATAATTTGTAAGGTATTTACATTTCTGAGTCAGGGGACAAAAAAAATCACATTTATTACGTCTTAGTGTAAAACAAACTAAAAGTCCTTTTAGTCCTTTTTTTTCCTTTGGCATTTAAGATAAAATTGACCAAATGTTACTGATAACACACTGCTAAAAACAAGTTGAATAATTATGGGAATATCTCATAACACACATTTTCATAAAAAAAAAAAAAAAAAAAACTGTAGACAGCACTAAATACAGCATTTAAAAAACAAACTAGAAAAACAATTTTGTAATATTCAAGGAATAAATTAATTGCATAAAGGAAATCTGATGATATATTTTTGACAAATATTTACAGCATGTGGTGGAGATTAAAAAGACTAAGGACACACTACACACTAATAATAAGTGCATTGCAAGAAACAAAAAAACACTTCAGCCAATCAAATATGTCATTTGTTACAATTTCAGTACAATAATCTGGCGGTAATTGAGTAAAACAAAGTGCATGTGCAAACAGCATGATAAAAACAACATAGGGAGTTTGTATGTGCACTGTAAAACAATGTGGTCCAGTCAAAGCAGCAATATTATACAGTAACTCACATAGTTTGGTTTGATTATTGGATTCCATTTTTCAAATGGCTAGGGAGAAATTGAATGCAAAATTCAGCATTACATCACTTGCTCACCAATGGATCCTTTACAGTGAATGGGTGCCGTCAGAATGATTCAGACGAGACCACATTGGAGAAAGCAATAGTATGGATAGAGGAAACAACGGTTTTAAGTAAAAACATCTTAAAGATGAATTTGTTTATTGCAAACACACAGCTTTTCACTTCACATTATGGTAATTAATGGACTGGAGCCATGTGGATTACTTGTGGATGATTGTGATGTTTTTAATCAGCTGTTTGGACTCTCATTCTGACGGCACCCATTCACTGCAGAGGATGCATTGATGAGCAAGTGATGCAATGTTAAATTTCTACAAATCTGTTCCAATGAAGAAACAAACTCATCTACAACTTGGATAGCCTGAGGGTGAGTGCATTTCCATCAAATTTCACTAAAACTAACAAAACTATTCCTTTAAAGTGATCTGACCCAAATCTGAACAAAGTCACCATTCACATGGAATATGAGCAAAAACTCACAAAATGAACAAACAAACAAAATGCCTATATCAGGGATTAGGGTTTGAGCTAAACTCTGCAGGGCAGTGGCCCTCCAGGTCCGAAGTTGCCCATCCCTGGCCTACAGGTGCATCTCAATAAATTAGAATGTCGTGGATTAGCTGATTGGCATGTCACCATATTCTAATTTGTTGAGATAGTGAATTGGTGGGTTTTTGTTAAATGTGAGCCAAAATCATCACAATTAAAAGAACCAAAGACTTAAACTACTTCAGTCTGTGTGCATTGAATTTATTTAATACACGGGTTTCACAATTTGAGCTGAATTACTGAAATAAATGAACTTTTCCACGACATTCTAATTTATTGAGATGCACCTGTATATAGACCTCGGTGGGGAAAAATGTAGTGATGGTTAGTAATTTCTTTCAGCAGCAGAGGGCATCAGCGATCCATAACCAACAACGTGAGAGCTGAGTTTTTAACTGTTCGTTTAGACAAGCTCCAATACACATTTTAACACGCTATAGCTTTACTATAATATCATTAACCAGTAACATGAAGTATACGCGTATTTCTGAGGACGTTTAAGCTTTTCTCTGTACCCTGTCGCTTCTAATATTCAGCTTCAGTGGTCCAGGTCTCTAAACTCACCCAAACACTTGCGTAATAATCATCATCTGGAATCAGAGATCCCGAAAATTACATGAACAAACAAGCTGTGATGACGGTGTGAATGCGTGCTTCTCATAACCAATCGCTGGATGATTTATGTTGCATGCATGCAGCTCTCAACTTGTAAATGAATGACGTTGGCAGGCTGAGCACAAGCGCTATGACAGCATTCAACAGTAACTTTCCGCTGCAGGTCAGATGCGCGCTCGAACTGGACGGACTGATCGAAACGGAAGCTGTGTGAGTTTAACGGGAGGATATAGTCAATAAAGTAACATTCCTGTCGCTTCAAGAAGAGAAGGGGACGAAATAAAGGTAGGCCTATGTCACATATATATAATATAGTGGTCCGTTACAGTTTTAAAATGAAGTGTGAAAAAAGCAAAGACTAGTATTAAATCTAAGGAAACCATATTATGTGATATATTTCTACAAAACTTCAACAGTATATTTATAGTAGCAGTGCAAATAATTAGCCTCTACATATCTTAAATTGCTTAGCCTATATTTTGTTGTATTGATGAATGTATCTGTGGCTAAATTAAATTTGGTCCCTTTTTTAGTATTTTGTATGTTATTGTCTTAGATTTGCCTTGATGGAGTTACATATTAGTCATTCTACTATAAGGAAGCTTTTTGTGTCCCTTAGATATATTAAAATATATCTACTGTAACAATGAAAACATGACTTTTAACTATGTGTTAGACATGTTCACCAAACACATTAGTAAAATCCTTTAACTTAATTTTTTCCCCTGTTGATTTGCTTCATGAAACTCTTTTGATCTGTCCACCGCCCTGTGTTTCTCCCTTGTTGTATTATCAAATATGCACAGTGATTATGAAAATAAAAGCGAATGTTTCGTAATCATATATTTGTTCGATTTTAGGTTTTAGCAAAAAAACTTGAAGTTGTGCCCCCAGGTTATGCATCAACACTGTTGCATCCCAACTCACTCTAACTAACATCTAATAATTATCACAAAGATGTCAAATTTCACAAAAATAAACAAATAAATAACTGACATAATGACAGTCATCCAAAGATTTGAACTCTTCAAGGACGGGGATTGTCAGTAGGAGACGATTTTAAATAGTCCACCCTGTTACCATGGTTTTGTATAGTAAACTCATTAATAAAAGTGCCATGACACTTAAGGTCATGACCTTGAACACTAGACTAGTTATGGCTAAATTAGCTTAAAAAAACTGTCAATTCTATTTAGTTGATTTTTTACTATTATTATTTAAAAATATATCTATATGGCAAACATTTTTAAAAAATAATAATGGAATGACCATAAAATATAAATATGATGTCATAATTTCCCACAACATTCTCCAAACTTCTTGGCTGTTGTATATTAGGTCTAGTCTAACTTACCTTGATGCATGAGGTCTAGAGTATATATGTGTACAAACAAATGTGCGTGTGCTTGTATCAGTGCCCATAAGCAAGGGGTGGAATTTACAAGAAATTACTTTGAAATAATTTAAACATAGTGCCAAAGGCCTCTGGTTGCCATGAGGATTTTTGGATTGCAAGCACAGAGGTCACCATACATGCCAAATCATGTCTAAGCTTTTTGTGAGTTCACTGAGAGCAACTATTTTATGATTATTATTCTTGATAGGTTACAGCCAAGAAGGATATCAGGATTTTAAAAATGTCCTACTGGTGAACTGATCAAGGAACATTGTAATATACTTTGTGGCAGGTTTGTCTGTTTTAAAGGCCGTGAGTTGAGCTGCCTCAATATTCGCCCCAAGCAAAGCCATAATTAAAGGACAACGCTAAGTAAGAGGATCTGTCAGTGTTGTTCTAATGACACCATAATATAGACATAAAACACATTGTATTCAACAGCCTCACCATTCTTTGAAAAATACCACGCAAACAATTAAAGTCAGCATGCTCCTAATAATGCTTCCTTTGTTTTCTAACACTCCTGTTTAATATTCTCTTTCACACTTTCCCCTTTTCATTTTGCTTTCCTTCTCATCTAAAAACGTACAATACAGTTATTAAAAATACAGGTATATAGCCTATAACAAACTTCAGGAAGAGCATCTTGACAGTTCACCCAGAACTCCATCACTGCAACAGGTTCCCCCTTTTCTCTACAGTTAATGACTTCTCTAAATTATGTCTGCCTTTTTGTAGTGTTATTTTAATATTATTTAGTATTTAATTTGTATTACTATTGTAATATTTATGAATATTTCTGTTTTTATGTTTTCCGTTTTCATC